TATGGGGGATTTTAACTACCCCGATATTTGCTGGAAGACTTACACAGCCAGTCATTCACAGTCTAGGAGGTTCCTCCAGTGCATTGATGATAACTTCTTAATGCAAATGGTGGACGAACCAACTAGGAGAGGAGCGCTGCTGGATCTGGTACTCACCAACAAGGAGGGTCTGGTTGAAGTAGTGATGGTCAATGGCAGTGGGCTGCAGTGACCATGAGATGGTGGAGTTTAGGATCTTGTGTGGGAGGAACAGAATACCTAGCAAGGCCACATTTCTGGATTTCCAAAGGGCAAACTTTGGCCTCTTCAATCAATTGCTAAGGGAAGTATCATGGCAAAGGGTACTAGGTGGTAAAGGGGCTCAAGATAGTTGGTCAGCATTCAAGGACCACTTCTTCAAAGCTCAGGATCAGAGTGTCCCAATGAGTAGGAAGTCAAGTAGGGGAGCCAGGAGACCAGCATGGTTAAAGAAGGAACTGCTGGGCAAACTCATATGGAAAAAGAGAATCTATGGATTATGGAAGGAGGGGCTGGCCACTTGGGAGGAATATAGGACAGCTGTTAGAGGATGTAGGGAAGCAATTAGGACAGCTAAGGCCTCCTTGGAACTTAATCTGGCAAGTCAGGTCAAGGACAATAGAAAGGGCTTCTTCAAATACATAGCGAATAAAACTAACACAAGAAGCAGTATAGGCCCACAGCTGAATGAGGTGGGTGCCCTGGAGACAGAGGATATAAAGAAGGCAGAGGTGTTGAATGCCTTCTTTGCCTCTGTCTTTACTCCTGCAGACTCTCCTCGGGGGACCCTGATTCCTATAGCCCCGGAAGGAGTCAGGATAAAGGAGGAGTTTGCTTTGGTAGATGAGGATTGGGTTAGGGATCAGTTAAGTAATCTGGACATCTATAAATTGATCGGTCCGGATGGAATACACCCGCGGGTGCTGAGGGAGCTGGCAGAGGTCATTGCTGAGCTGCTCTCCATCATCTTTGGTAAGTCGTGGGAAACAGGTGAGGTGCCTGAGGACTGGAGGATGGCAAGAAGGAGGACCCAGGTAATTATAGACCGGTCAGCCTTACCTCCATTCCCGGAAAGGTGATGGAACAACTTATTCTTGACACCATCTCTAGGCATACCAAAGATGAGGGAGTCATTAAGAGCAGCCAACATGGCTTTACCAAGGGGAAGTCATGTTTGACCAACCTTATAGCCTTCTATGAGCAAGTAACTAGGTGGATGGATGATGGTAGAGCGGTAGATGTGTTTTTTCTTGATTTCAGTAAGGCATTTGATACTGTCTCCCACAGCATCCTCATAGATAAGCTAAGGAAGTGTGGGCTTGATGATCAGGTAGTGAAGTGGATCAAGAACTAGTTGGAAGGAAGAAGGCAGAGAGTTGTGGTCAATGGGGCAGAATCCAGCTGGAGGTCTGTGACTAGTGGAGTCCCTCAGGGGTCGGTGCTGGGACCAGTGCTGTTTAATATTTTCATCAACGACCTGGATGAGGGAACTGAATGTACCCTCAGCAAGTTTGCTGATGATACTAAACTGGGAGGAGTGGCTGACACACCAGAGGGCTGTGTTGCCATTCAGCAAGACCTGGACAGGCTGGAGAGTTGGGCGGAGAGGAACTTGATGAAATTCAACAAGGGCAAGTGTAGAATCTTGCAACCCCATGTACCAGTACAGGTTGGGGGCTGACCTGCTGGACAGCAGTGAAGGGGAAAGGGACCTGGGGGTCCTGGTGGATAGGAGGATGACCATGAGCCAGCAATGTGCCCTTGTGGCCAAGAAGGCCAATGGCATCCTAGGGTGCATTAGAAAGGGTGTGGTTAGTAGGTCGAGGTTCTCCTCCCCTCTACTCTGCCTTGGTGAGGCCGCATCTGGAATATTGTGTCCAGTTCTGGGCCCCACAGTTCAAGAAGGACAGGGACCTGCTGGAGAGAGTCCAGCGCAGAGCTACAAAGATGATTAAGGGAATGGAACTTCTCTCTTATGAGGAGAGGCTGAGGGAGCTGGGACTCTTTAGCTTGGAGAAGAGGAGACTGAGGGGTGACCTCATCAATGTTTACAAATATGTAAAGGGTGAGTGTCAGGATGATGGAGCTAGGTTTTTTCAGTGATATCCAGTGATAGGACAAGGGGCAATGGGTGTAAACTGGAGCATAGGAGGTTCCATGTGAACATCAGGAAAAATTTCTTTAATGTGAAAGTGACAGATCACTGGAACAGGTTGCCCAGGGGGGTTGTGGAGTCTCCTGCGTTGGAGATATTCAAGGCCCGCCTGGACCAGTTCCTGTGTGATGTACTCTAGGTTACCCTGCTCTTGCAGGAGGGTTGGATTAGATGATCTTTTGAGGTCCCTTCCAACCCTTAGGATTCTGTGATTCTGTGAACTTATCAGTGTTGTTATGGAAGAGAAATATTTTGAGTAAAGCTTTTGTCAATTATGTGGATTTTTAATACAACAAAAAGCAGAATTTAGAAGGCTTTTAGAAAAAAAAAATTAGAAATTTTAGAAAAAAGAATTTGAGGCCAGCTGTTATATTGCATGCACACAGACAGGTAACCCAATGATGTCTGTATTCCATGCCTATTCCATTGATGATTACAAAGAAAAAATATGAATAAAGACACATTCAACCCACATGAAACTGAAGTAATGTTTAAGAATGGGGAAAGCAACACGGAATAAAAAAATGAACTTGCCAATTTGTTTCTAAATTTTTGGTATGGGTTAGGGTTTTGTTTATTTTTATTACCCCATTTTTTGAATGTTCAGGTGGCAACAGCTGCCAAAACCATTCTCAGCTGAAATACACTTGCAGAATTTGTGACACCTCAGGACTGATGTAGTGCAGCAGTCTCTTGGACTGCGCTTGATAAGCATTTGGAAATACCAGCTGGTGCTGAACACAGCTTATGACTTATTAAATGTTGTTTCCTACAGGAAGGCTGTTATCCCCGAGCAGCTCCATGGATCACTTGCTTTGCTGATTCTCTTTCCATTGGGTAAAAGGGAAAATGAAACAGGGAGCACCTTATCCTGACACTGAAGACGCCGAAATGCCTTTACTATGTGGTCAGAAAGAGCATCTCTATGTCGAAGAGCTGACACTTTTGTCTGAAGCCAGCACAATTACACACCAGAGCTCAGCTCTTCACTCTAAAACACTTGTCTAAGAGATATTTCTGGGGCACACAGCACTTGGCATTAACCTCTGTCTTCTTCACCCAGACCCTGCTCACTAACAGCCATCTCACCAGGAGAATCCCCAGAAGCCCAGGTGATCACCAGCTGAAAGCTCCTGGAGGGAAAAAAAAAAAAATTGAGGGGGAAAAAAAAAGTGCTGTTTTTTGTTTTAATAATTTTAGGAGTCAGTCACACATCTGATTCTGGATTAACTTCAAGTACTATTCCATTTCAACATAGGAGAGTAAGAGGTGGGATTTGCATTTCTTTGAGAACTCCCTATGTCTGTGATTTTTTTCACAGGAAAGACAGGATAAACAGCCCAGCAAGTGGCATGGTGGGAGCACTGCATGAGGTTCTGCAGCTCGTTAGGGTAATTAACTCTACCAATTTTAACACACACCTGAGCTCTAATGAAATAGCTGCTGGCAGACTCCACAGCTGAGTGGTAACATTCTAGATCATGAGAAAAACAGTTCTCTCAACTCAAAAATAGCTTCATCACCCCTCTGCTAACAACAGGGTATGTTCCTTGGGACCCTGCTCATGTTTCCCAAGATCACTGCCTAAAAATAAAATCTAAAAAATTTGGTCCTTTCCACAGACTTTTTAAAAGGGCCTGTAGGAACAGGACAGGGGGAATGGCTTTAAACTGACTGACGGTGGATTCAGATTAGATATTAGGAAAAAATTCTTCCCTGTGAGGCTGGCGTGGCACTGGCACAGGTTGCCCAGAGAAGCTGTGGCTGCCCCTTCCCTGGCAGTGTTTAAGGCCAGGTTGGATGGGGCTTGGAGCAACCTGGTATACTGGAAGGTGTCCCTGCCTGTGGCATGGGGGTTGGAACTAAGTGACCTTTCAGGTCCCTTCCAACCCAAACCATTCTGTGATTCCATGATTCTGTGACTCCAGGCTTTGAAGGACAAGCAATGAAAGATTTTGCCCATTTTCTGGCATAAGCAATTCTGAAAGGCTTTTCTTGACCAACTCACTGCCTTACCTGGAAGTGTGTCACAAACCTGCGCTGTGACTGTTGCTCCCTGAGATCTCCCTTTTATCTGCCTGCTGTGCACAACTGGGGGTATGCAGGACTGGAATTTTGTCCACTTCCTCATGTCTCTCACTCAGAATTGAAACCATTACATACATTTTATTTAAAAAAAAAACTTTTCATGAAGACCACAGAAGCTATTAGAGCTGAGCAAATAACCCACTGCAAGTAATTTATTCGATTTGCTCTGTTTCAGCTTCATTTAAAGTTTTTATAGAGGTTTTGTTACAGTCTGTGGTTTAAGCAATTAAATGAAAGAGGTCAGGAATGATCACAGGAATTCAGGACATACTCTTAGATCATTTTTGACTCAGTGTGCACAGTCATCAATTTTCTAGGCAATAAAAGCATACATTTTAAGTGCAAATCATCATAACCGAATACTTGGATTCAGTGTTCAACAATTTAAATTTCAGAAATATGTTCTGGTATTTGCCTTAAATTATGAAAAGACAGTAACATCTGTAAACACAAGGTCGACAGGCTATTTGCAGAAAACAGGGAAGGAACTTAAAAATCAGGCAATATTTTCAATTACTGTATGGTGAAAAAAAGATATAAAGGACTTTTCTCAGCTCTGATACCTACACTGCAGCATTAAGGACAGGTCAGATTTTGGTCTTCACTACCCTGAACAGTATGCCATTCTCTGACACATGTTCTCTGATACTGCAGCAAAACCTGAGATATATAGCATTATCATCTACATAAACAAGTACACAGTAGAGTTAAGTAGCTTAGTTCTCTTTGATTCACTCACCTTACAGGCAAGGTCCTGTCTCCTTTTCTCCTGTCCATCTCCCTTTGCGGAACTGGATACCAGCGAAAGTTCAGTTTCCAGTTAAACCCTCCGTAAGTCATATCAGATCCAGCCATGTATTCAAAAGTGTCATCACTGATCACATCGATGATTGGGCAGACAACAGTTTTCCTGTAAGGAAAAAATTGGGCTTTTTTAAACAAAACAGGTTTTCATGGTAGTAAGAAAGAGTAAAAAATTCAGAGTATTGACAGTCACACAGACAAAAAGTTATGCCTGGTAAAAAGAATGGAGAAAGCTGGCCATCAGGATGGGGGACATGCAGACCTTGTGAAAGTAAACGGCGCAGGTTGCTGTCATTACTGGCATTATTATTCTTACTGTCAGCAACATAAATCCTGCTGTAAGAATAAAAAGTTTTTCACCTATCTATTTAGAAACTAGATTTTGACACAAATATTAGAAAACCTTCTATCTGCCTTATAAATTAAAAAAGAATAAAAGAATTAATCTTTATTTTCAGATCAATGATTTGTTTCATTTCTATTTTTTAGCAGAACAGAGGAACCAAGGACTGGCTGGAGGCAGGAGGCAGATCCCTGCACCTGGAGGGGGAAAGCTGCCCTTACCTGTCTTCCTTTATCCTGGCCAGCAGTGGCTCGAGCCAGCCCAGGGTGCACTCACAATGTGCGTCCAGGAATGTTATCACCTGCCCTTTAGAGGCTGCCGCACCACGGAGCCGCGCACGGATCAGTCCTGACCTCTGCTCCATCCGAATGATTTTTATGGAGACTTCCAGATTTTTCACGTAATTCTCTAATGAGGCTTTCAGAAACTCTGCCAGAGATAAGCGGGAAAAAAACCAAAACCAAAACAACAAAAACAAAAACCCACCAAAACCAAAGAAAGAAACAAACAAACAAAACCAAACAAAATACCCAAAAAAAAACAAAACAGAAGAAAAGTATTATTTTTTGTGAGGTTCAGCAAGTACCAAGGACTCAAAATATAACTGCTGAGTTTATGCGTCATGCTTGGCCTTCCAAGGACGGCCATGCACAAACACTGCCCTTACACAGGAAATGCGTTTTGACTTATTTAGAGTTGTTCTGAAGTCACAGCTGAGCTATGGGGGTTTGCACAAACACTCTATTCCAGGCAGCCACATGGAAAACAGCCCACGCACACAGACACATCTGCCCGAGCATCTCTGCCCAAGCATCACAGAAATTTTAAAGAGCTGTGATCAGTTTCCTTGAAATAAGCCAGCAGCCAACAGGGAGTGCAAAATGTGGACACTGATCTGTCTATGGTTAATACCAACATGTCTATTTTTCACGAATTTCACCATTTCAGTCCTTTAGGAATCCAACACTTTGCTTTTAGGGAAAAACTGTAGTTACTTGGGCTCAAGTCCTCCTCCACCTTCCTGCCCAGAGAAACATTAAGCTGACTTTTTTCCTGAAGCAGGGAAATCCAGGACAGTAATTACAGTTAAGTTAATGCTACAGAAATAAAGGCTGGCTTAGCTTGCACCTTCTGTCTCTTGATCCATTGCACCTACATGTTGTATTTACAATGATATTAATTTGGCTACTCCAGGAAAATTTATCATTCCATTGATTTCATTTATAGAATGCAATGTGATTCCTTTGCCAGGTAATAGCAGTTTCACATGTAGACCGTTTTCTTTCTAAACCCTGGGTTTAAAATCCAATCGTAAATGCTTGGCAAGAGGCACAGGTCCAGTTCAACATGACAAAAGGAAGTCAGACTTCACCACCCTTTCTGCAGGTGAAGTCTGCAGTGGCACTGAAATAACACAAGCAACAGGACTCCTCTCATCCTGAGCCTACCTCTCTCGCTGGCATCATCCACCAGGATGATTTCCGAAAGCAGGTGGTGCGGTGACCGGTTTATCACACTGTACACAGTCCGAAGCAGAGTGCTCCAGGCTTCATTGTGAAACACAATAACCACACTTGTGTTGGGAAGCTCATCAGGATAGACTTTAGTCTTGCACCTGCCAAAAAAAATAAAACAAACAGAAGAAAAAGAAGGTTAATCTTTAAGAAAATCCCTGAAGAGCTCTACCAACAGGACAGCCTAGAAAAGGGTCTCCAAACCTGTAAGTGGGATACATTTTAAACCAGTTACTGATCTCTTCAAGCTCCCAGTCTGCAGCCCGAAGGCAGAGGGGATTTGAAATTCGGTTTTCTTACTAAGAAAACACAGCAGAGCACCCAGAGGAAGGTCGCGCTGCTGCATTCCCAGCTGCCTCAGGCTCACGGTCTCCTTGCTCCCACTTGGTATACCAAGAAATCAGCTTCCAGCAGCCTTTGGATCAACGCGTCCTGACATCACAAACAGAAAACTCTGGACATGGGGTATTTAATATTACATGTAGTGAGTGGTTAAAGTGAGGTTAAATAAGTCTTTTCTTGTGAGAAATCCCAAATTCTATGGTTTGAAGTACACAGGCCTGAGACTTCCCCATTTTTAGTGGTTTCTTAGAAGAAAAAAATTACTATTTTCTACAGCATTCTATATGCCTGTTGAATGGAAGATTGAGAGGTCTATAATCTCATTGGAAAATTGAGAAATTAAGGCAAAGTGAGCAACAGATACCAAACACTGCTGATTTTGTGCAAGCAAATTAAAGCTATTTGCATATTACAAGGGACAAACCAAAAATTTGCACGTTTCTTCATGCTTTGGACACATTTCAGAACCAAAGCTTAAATCAGTTTGCTGACACAGGTCAAGTGATGGCACTTAAATACACCTAATAGGGATTCTTAACTGTTGTGACTTGAAATAATTTGCACTTTTATATATATATATTTTGCTGTAGTATGATTTTCTGGCTGTACTGTTCCCACTGTGGTCTGGGTTCAGGAAAGGACAGGTGAGCATGGACGTACTTTCTTCAGCAGCAGCACACATACCAGTAAATTAAACTGCATGTAAATGGAGAAGAAATTATGTATAGCTTTTTAGAGCATCCTCTTTGTAACACCACAAATTGGAAGCCTCCCTAAAAACTTCTGAATAGGTCATTACCATGGAATATTGTGTTTAGTTTTGGTCCCTGCTATACAAAACACACAGACACACACCAGTCTTGACATCATTTTGATAATGACCACTGAAGTTTGTTTTAGAAGTCATCCCACCTTCCCAATTTCTGCAATCTAATTAATGATACGACTATCATTCAATTACAATTTAGATTTAGAGTTCAGACAAACAAATAAAAATCCTTTATTAATTATCAGCATTGACAATACCCTCTCTTTATCCAGAAGTGTCCAAAGGAGTGTGAGCCCAGCAGGACGAGATGTCCAAAAAAAGGACATTATGAATGTACTTGTTTCCAAGGCATAGTAAAGGTTCTCCTTGCCTCAGAAGGTGTCTCATGTCAGCCCTGGAATCTGAAAGTCAGATATCAAAGACTAAAACCAGAAAGGACGTAGTGCAAAGCTCAGCGCTGCTTATGTTCAGAGTTGTTTTCCAGAGCTTAACGTCATACTTCAAACTATACACCAAACTGGAATAAATTCTGCCTGTCCTATATTTCACAACAGTCATTTTAATTACATTTAAACCAGACACAGTCTTGGAAATTGGAAAATAACTACTACCTATCATTGTGTTTAAAAATATTCTGAAAAGCATGTCAGTAGTAAAATGAGACAAGAAGGAAAAGACATTTCCTTGTCTGTAGTATAACACTAATTTTGCAGAGCAAACAGAATATTAAGAACAAGAATGTTTATAATCACATCGTATTTGCCAGGATCTTCAGTACTTTTAACTATCATTCTTATTATTTTTCAATATATCTTACAGTACCCAGAGAAGGGCTAGATGAGCTAAGAACACCCAGGAAGAAGACATGCGGCATGTCCTATGTTTTACAGCAGACAAACTAAATTATCATAAATGTGGTCATAAAAATCCACGATCAGCATCCTTGAGTGCATGAAACAGCATAACCAGCTGATCAAAAGAGGCGATGATCTGGCTGTACTTATCATTGGTGCAGCCTCTCTAAGAGCACTGTGTGCAGTGCTGGGCCCCACTGTGTAAGGATATGAAGGTCCTTGACTGCTTCGAAAGGAGGGCAACAAAGCTGGTGACAGGGCTGGAAGACATATTCTCTGAGGATTTGTGATTGTCTAGCTCAGAGGAAGGTGAAGGGCAACTTCACTGCTCTCTGCAGCTTCTTGAGGGGTAAACACAGAGAAGGAGGTGTCAGTCCCTTGTCTCTGGGACCTAGGGACAGGATGCCTGGGAAGGCTGAAAGCTGTGCCAAGGGAGGTTCAGACTGGACACGATTAGTTACACAGAAGATGAGATATAAAGAAGTTCTTCACTGTGAGAGTGGTGAGGCACTGGCACAGGTTGCCCAGAGAAGCTGTGAGTGTCGCATTCCTGGAAGTGCTCAAGGCCAGGTTGCACGGGACTTTGAGTTGGAAAGTAGATGAGCTTTAAAGTCCCTTCCAACACAAACCATTCCAAGATTCTATGGTTCTATGTGGAGGTTCGTGTTCACCAAGAGGGTGGCCAAACCCTGTAACAGGCTTCCTGGAGAGGTGGTCAATGCCCCAAGCCTGCCAGCGTTCAAGAAGCATCTGGACAATGCCCTTAACAACATGCTTTAGCTTGGTCAGTCCCAAAGTGGTCAGGCAGTTGAACTAGGTTATTGTTGTAGGTCCCTTCCAACTGACACAGCCTACTCTATTCTATTAAGGACCAGATTTTCAAAAAAGCAACTGCTCTGGAGTCAGCAAACTGTGCACAGACAAGAGCTTGTTAATCGATGAGTGCGCGTGTAACATAGCTGACTCCTTACCTTGCTGACACAGGCGTTACACACTAGATGCCAGAAAGCTGCCAATTCATTTCCCACCAATACGGAAAGTGCTCCATTTACACACTGTCCTGGGTTCAGCAGTAGCAGTCATGTTTCTCCTTCTTGGTAGCTGGTGCAGTGCAGTGTTTTGACTTTCAGCTCGGGAACAGAGCTGATAACAAGGATGTTTTGGTTTGGCCAAGGACTTTGTGAGCCTCATGCTCTGCCAGGGAGGAGGGGAAGCCGGGAGGAAGCAGAGACAGGACACCTGACCCAAACTGACCAAAGAGGTATTCCATACCACAGCACGGCATGCCCAGGATGTAACTGGGAGTTACCCAGAAGGGCTGGGAGACTGCAGGGTTGGAGGAGGTCAGAGCTTGGTCAGGCTGGGGGGGCGAGTTATCGGTCAGCTGGTGGTGAGGTGTTGTATTCTCTTCCCTTGTTATTTCCTTTATCATTGTTATTATTGGTGGTAGCAGTAGTGATCTGTGTTATACCTTAGTTACTAAACTGTTCTTATCTCAGCCCGTGGGAGTTGCATTCTTTTCGATTCTCCTCTCCATCCCTCTGGGAGTAGGGGGAGGGAAAGAAGGGGGGAAGTGAGTGAACGAGTTACCTGACTGGGTTTAAACCACGACACACACTTAAACACGTGCTGTTGTCCTGGGTCCTATTTCAGCATTTCCGAACAAACAGCAACTGCACCGCTCCATGGGGAGCCTGCTATGTCCAGCTTAGCTACTAAAGACGATGAAGATGAAGTAAGGAGGCAAGCAGGAGACAGAGACTGAAATACTGACTGGTGCGAGGCTGAGACTGCTCCGGATTGTAAGGTTATGCTTTTACCAGCGTGTTTTTGTTTTCTGGTGGAAGCAAGACATTAATTAGTTTTTACTAAGCTCACTCAAAGCAATTTTCATGAGTATTTGATTAACTTTTAAAGTTAAACAACAAAGATTGGTAATAATACAACTGTACGGTGGGTGTATAATCACTGTTCATGCTCTTCAAGTAATTCCCACTGCCATTTACAAGGTGTGCAATGGAAACAAATCACAATCCAGCCAAACGTGACTAATTTGTACCCTGCTCCCCACTTCACTCCTGGCTGCATGTGGCCACGCTCCAAACCCAGTGCTCATTACAACTCTTTGCTGAATCACCTCACTAAGAAGCCCCAGTGCCACCTCTTGGCCAGTTTTTCTGCATGGTGAGGAATGAATGCAGCACACAGATTGCCAGGGAGGTGCTGGAGATAGTGCAAGACTGGCATGAGAAGGGCATGGTTGGGAGACACCCAGTATACCAAAACCTCCCAGACCCAACAGGCTGTTTGCCAATGGCTGCTCCCTTGCCTTCCCTCAACAAGTGCAGCAACAAATATACAGCTTTCTGCTGCAGATTAACTCTTTCATCCCCACCATGTCCAACAGTACCGACTCAGGGACCACCTTTTGAGCTCAGTATCAGTGGAGATTTGGGCTCTGTAGTGCCCTACCACAGGGAAGGGGGAAGGACACACCTATTCCCATTCTGTCCTTGCAGCACACCTTTAATAGCATTTCAGTCCCAAACCTAACATTCTGCTCACTTTTGAGTGTTTCTAAGTGCACAAAAAAATAAAAACCTTTCATGTCCCTCTACTGAAATTACGACAGTGATTCATGTTGCACTTCTTTTCTAATTCAAAAATACACAATGTGCTGAAGAAGCAATAAATAAGTCATCTGCTACTCACATGCTATCAAACACAAGGACTCCCTCTCCACCACCCCTGCACTATTTACAATGCATACTGATTGTTCAACATACACTGGAAATACTTCTCCAGAAAAACTGGGTTCGCTCATGCAGTCATCAGATGTTACTTTATGAATACACATGAAGTAAATACAGCTGCTTAAATGTGGGAAAAACACATCTTCTAAGATCAATAACATGGAAACAGACTGATACTCTACCCATTTACCACCCTTTCCACTGGCTGTATGCACATTATGTGAGTGTGAAGGATTGCACTGTGATTTTATCCCTTCCAGAACTGTGTAGAAGCTCTCGTGGAAGCAACTCAAGCCAAAATATCATGCATGAAAGCAAAATATTTGGACTATAACTACTATACAGAATAATTTAGGTTGTAAAATACCTTTAAGATCATGGAG